ATTTTAATTTCCATCATCCATATATATATATATATATATATTGATTTCTGGCGATTGGATTTATAATCTGAGGATTCTGAAGTAATTAGTGGACGGATTCGCCTATTACTCTTAATTACTCTTGTTTAAGAAGTATGTAAACTTTTATGTCATCAACGAAGAGGGGTTACCTTTGATTTATTTTAGTTTTAAATTTAAGTACCAGACGGGTCAGTTCAAATTCAATTTTAAGTACCAGTGTAAATTCCGGATACGTTTTCCTAGATCTACAATTCTTGTTCGACATACGAGTTTGGGTAACCTTGGATTAAGTGAAAGTACCGACACCTTTGACATATCTTCCACCTGCTGATAACAAGCGGCCATTTTGCTGTGAAATGGATTACCGGGTCATGAAGGAGATTTAATATCAAGGTTCGATCCTCAACAAAGGGCCAACTTCTGTGACTCTTGCAAGACAAGACAAGAAACTAGCTTGCAAGGTTGTCTTGGTGAACTAATTTGATTACGCACGCGTATAACAGTGTGTTACGAAATTGAGAAATTGGCGTCTAAATTTAACAATAAGAAACCTCTATACCGAGAAAATTAATCAAGCGTATAAATAACAAGTGACTTTTTATTTTATTTTCATCTGTGCTGTGTGATCAAACTTTTTTCTTTCTATATTGAAAGTGCAAGTACAATAAACCCCCAAAGAGCATCTAAAATCTAAGCGACAGAGCACCTCGGTGTGACCCTACGGGGTCATTGAATTTGACCCATTTTCAATTGGCTTGTTACATGCGGTATAATGCATGTGTTAACTGTGCAAAGTTTCAACTGAATAGGTTCAAGCGTTTGGCAGGGACAGAAAAGCGTGACCCCACGGGGTCATTGGATTTGTAACAAAAAAAGTGTTTGTAAAAATCAATGCAATTACTTTCAATGACGAATAGCGAGGCGAATTTCAGGCATGTTGGGTGTTGCCAAAATTATGAGAAATTCATTTGAAAATGATTCAGTCAAGAACGAATAAAATTTGTACTACTGCTACATATCGCGGCTTCATTTAGTTACAGTTTAATCACGCTTTAAAAAACGTGGTGTTAATGAGAGAGGAGTCTAATAATACACAATTTGCATTCAGTAACCTTAAATCTTGTAGCAGATTGTATTTCAGCAATCAATCCCAATTCGACTACAAAATTGCATATTTCGTTTATATTCCGCGAATCTGACACATGAAACCATCACTGATATATTCATTGGTGTCCTAATTATAAACTAATATTCTACACTATTTCACGTTTGCGATAAATTCACGAGAGTTGTGGAACCGGAGAACTGGGGTGCAATACCAGACTTAAAGAAGCTTGCACAAGTCAATACCCCACGCTTGTTGAATAAACAAATACAAATTCTATAGTGTGGTATTCAAATAGTGAGAAGTTTCTGTATAAAGCAAATAGACTAAATGAACACTACTACTCAAATAAATGATGCTTTCCAGCTGCCGATGCCGGGAACTTCATTACTAAAATGCCAATTTTATCAATATTCTAACCTCAATATTCTTTTCTTTATTCAAAGACTTCTTTATGTTACTAAAATCGTTGTTAGAGAAGCGCCATGTTCAGTCAAACGAGTCGGCCGCTATTTGCACCCGATCCCTACACAATCGATGTAGGTTGTTAAAAAACTATATTAGTGCGATCTGTGAAACGACCTTATTTCTTTGCCACCTCTCAGTAAAGATTGTGAGTAAGTAAATCAAGCTTAAACTCGGTAAAGTACATCCTTTCGTTTAGTTCCATTGACTGCGTAACTAGGAGGTTGTAAATTTAATAGGCAAATCCCGGAATGCAGCGAAATGCATAAATTTTGTTCCCATTAGGATCACACGTACTTAAAGCTTATAAATAGGGTGTTAAAGTCAGATATTCATTATTTTTTAAGTATATGAAATATTACATTTTAAGACCTCAAATACTTCTCTTTACAAATTGACACTAGACAATTTGTTGATTTCACCTGTTGACCGGGTTGTTGTTAATTGAATATAGAAAGTGACTTAATCAAATTAATGTCCTCGATCTGTTAATGTCCGTAAAGTCCGTAAGGAAGCTCAGTTTGTCATCTGTCAGTTGGTCATTATCAAGAACTAATCAATTTTTACGTATGTACTAAAATAAATAGAATTATTCTCAACATTTTCCATTATTCTGGAAACTCAAGGTTTATAATTTCCACACATACAATAAAAACTCATTAAATGCTAGTTTTAAAGTATTCGATGGTACGAACCCGTATGGCTCAACGATGTTTTGTACTAAACTAGTTTGTGATTTATTAGCGTATTATAATTAAAGTCGTAATGGATAGTTCCTAATAGAGTTAAAGTGCATTTTAAACTTAAAACGTTTCCTTCATTTCTAAAGGGGTTAATAAATTACTCTACGACTCTTGACGTTTAATTTCAAAATAAACAGTTTATTATTTTGAATGAAGTACGTAAATTGCAAAAGGGGTGGAAGTCACGTTATACATTACCGTTGATAGCATGGTGAGTAAATTAGAACCAACTCCATTATCAAATGTTTTCTTACTTAAAAATAAAAGACGCAATATTTATTTTAATTTTGGAGTGGATTGCTGAAACGTAATTTTATACCTTTGAATATGACAAACATAATGAGAATATTAATAACATGAAATTAAAAGAAATGACTGTTTCATATACCAAATTAAATTCGTCACGCAATCCTCCAAGTACTTATTTTTTTACACGAAAATAAATATCGCAATATTACTATAAATGAAGCGAAAATTGCATCCGTTTTATTTTGTAGTCGCTAGCTTTATCACTACATTCACCACATTACCAATAAAGTGAATTTCTAAGAAACTAATTAAAATACAAGAGAGAAAACGTTTTGTTATTTTCTTTAACTTTCCTTTACTACCATTTCAATGTGACATTAATTAATTTAAAACGCAATTTCTTGTATTTACAAAGTACGAAATCATTCTAAGAGTAAGAAAACGTTGTACATTTTGATGTAATAGAGTTAACCTTAACACAATTACATAAGAAGGCTTCTCCCATTTCCCAGAACGAAATAAAACGGAAGTAAGTAGGCTGTTGTGCACAATAATTTAACCGTAAAATTTTAAGCTTTTGCTTTCCAATAATACGGTTTTTGGAAATGATAACAATAGAAGTGGTCTACATACTTCTGCTCGTGATAAAAGAATAGAATCATATTATTATACGGACATGTGACTGAAAACTGAAGTATTCTCGAAAAAGTATACAGTATATGTGCTATACAATAATCTGCGACCTGCATCAATTGCAGATAGTCCGAATTAAATGTGCGCGGTAAAAATGTAAGGAAATATCTGAAAGGCATTTAAATCGCGTCATATCCCTCCTTCTCGCCCCTGTAGCATTTTGATTTTCTCATATACATTTAAATTCTAGTTTGTTTGAGGATCACAGTATTTTTCAGAGTAGTCTCTGGTTTAGTTTTAGCGAATTTTAATTGATGCATTCGAACCTGAGCACTGATCCCTCATTGTGGAGGATATAATTGAATTAGGTGGATACGTGAGTAGCGACGATTTTCTAGTCACCTGTTACATTGTACGTTCTTAGGACGTTTCTATTCGTTCCACTATTATTATTATATTCCAAATAACCCTTTTAATGAATTAGAGGTAGGTTAGTTAAACCTTATGTGTTTGAAGGAAATTGGACATGTATTTTCTTTATAGGGTTCTACTTCTAGCTTTAATTTCAAGTTCACGTTACATTCAATTTCCAATTCAAGTGTTACCTACCAGGCATGTCTTATCTGGGAATGCAGACCCGTATCCAAGGAAAACACCTTATCTGAGATAACTCAGTACACAACGCTTGGGACGGCGATACCGAAATTAGGTCGGGAATCGCAAGCGGGGGAACTCGTTAAATCGCCGCGAGCTCACACCCACCATTCAGGCGACACCGTTACCTTTCGACACTTTTTGTTTAAAAAAGGTGCAATTAGATTTTATCATTCAACACGTTGCCGATTTACGATATTTGGGAAAGAGAGGTGTAGGATTTGAGATGATTTCTAAAACTACCAGTTGCATATGAGCATAAATGTTACTCATCTGGGTACATAACAACCCCAACTACCCTTAACAATAAAGCCTCAATTTTTGGGAAGTCATAGGGATTGTTCCTATTCTAACGGTTAATATTTGGTATTTTGCACCATCACCATCCATTTCGGTGAGGTGTCAGCGATCAACCTGCACTATCATGGATCAAGATCATATGTTCCGTGTCAGGGTTAACTACCGTTAGAGAGGATCAGATTAGTATCCCGTAAGCCCGGCGAAACAAAAAATTATCAGCGATGAGATGGATAATATGCTCGAATATCTAGCCTCCTAAAAGTGGATGGGCTTCTCCTATGTGTCTAATACCCAAACAAGCCAACGCCTACCGTTTCTGCGTTGAACCTCGGAAGTTGAATGGTGTGGTAGTCAAAGATGCTTATCCATTGCCATACGTTTCGTTAATACTGGCTCAACTACGCGACGCTAGATTTCTCAGCTCCTTGGTTAAATGCTCTTAGTGGCAAGTCGGAGTCAAGCGAACGGTCTGGTGTCTGGTTGAGGTCGGTGGCAGCGGTCTTGTGGGTCGGTCTCGGAAGCCTCGGATAAACGCAACCGGAGAAACAGCAGCTCCAGGAATTGGACGGTAGTTATTTCGGAAAAACTAAAACAAAATTACGGTAAATTCCCCTAGCGGGAATCAAAGCAACTAACGACAAATCGGCGGAAAACTATTGTGAGAAAGCGAACAATATTCCCCCCTTACTTTGTATGGATTATTGGGAGAAGTCAAAAATGTAAAGAAAGTGAAAGGTGAATTACTAATAGAAACCCGAACTAGCAAGCAATCTAAACAATGTTTGAAAACGAAGCGACTTGGTGAATTCGAGGTGAAAGTAGAACCTCATATGGCTTTGAACACGTCAAAGGGAGTCGTGTATTGTAAGGACTTGTTAAATTGTACCATTGAAGAGATAATCGAAAATTTACAATCCCAGGGTGTCATTGGCGTTAGGCGTATAAGAACGAAACGCGACGGAGAGCTTCACGATACTCCTAACCACATTCTTACCTTCAACGTTCCGCGTTTACCTAAATCAATAATGGCCGCATTTTATCCATTGCAAGTACGTCCTTACATACCTAACCCCTTAAGATGCTTCAACTGTCAGCGTTTTGGACACTCCGCCACAAACTGTAAACAGGAGAAGAGATGTGTGTGTGGAAAATCCCCGCACGAGGGTACTCTATGTGAAATTCCTGTGGAGTGCCCAAATTGTAAAGGACCCCATAAAGCAATTGCAAAATCCTGCGAAGTTTACAAGCAGGAAATGAAAATTCAGGAAGTAAAGATATTGCACAAGTTGTCGTACCCTGAGGCGAAGAAAAAGGTGGACACCCTAGTGGTGCCTAGCATGTCATTCGCGCAGGTAACCGCTGCGTCACCTTCAAATCACTCTAATACTGTGCCTGAAATCAGAAAAATAATACAGGAAGAGATGAAAAGTTGCATGAAGGTACTTACCACCAAAATCGAACAACTTTCTCGACATGCATCTGGACTTCATAAATCAAAGCCTATCTCGCAAGTAAGCGAAACAAGTATTCAGTTCTTAGAGCCGACCACTGCATCGGAAGTTGAGACCATGGACGTGGAAACGCGAGGGTCAAAGCGTAGGATGTCATTAGCTAGGACAAGGTCCTCCAGCATCACCTCTGTCGATTCGCAGACAGTGCAGGAGGCCAAACAACAAAAGAAAAAGAAAGGTTGGCCAAAAGGCAAGCCCAGAATGCCTCGTAAAACGGCAGGTGATCCGCAAATTTTTAGTCAGTAAATTTAATCTGTGATTACATCTGTGATATGTTTTCTTGTCTTTGTCTATCATGTGAAACTGTTAATTGTTTGTAATAGTCCCATATACACTGTAATTTTTTATTTTATTTACATGTTAAATTATTCTACTGTGTTTGTTTCTACTTACTTTTAAAATGGATACAACAAAAATTATCCAATGGAACTGTCGGGGACTATCTAACAATTTCAACGAACTGAAACTCTTAATTCAAAAGTATACACCATTGTGTATTGCTCTTCAAGAGACGCACCTGAAACCGAGATCAAAATACAATATAAAAAATTTCAGTCTGGTAAGGAAAGATTTTTACTCACCTGAAAGAGCCTGTGGAGGAGTGGCTTTTCTCATTAGAAAAGGCACACCATATAAAAGGGTTGAATTAAATACAACTTACCAAGCTGTAGCAGTACAATTTGAAATTGTTAAAACTTTTACACTTTGTAACATCTACGTTCCTAATACAGCATATGAAGTAGAACAAATTAGACAAATTATAAATCAGCTCCCAACACCCTTTGTTCTTGTCGGAGATTTCAATTCCCACAACATTGTTTGGGGCTCTACCTCAAATGATGCCCGAGGCAAAGAGTTAATGGAACTCATAGAAAACGATAACTTAAGTATCTTGAATAACGGTTCGGCCACGTTTTTCAACGTGAGATCCGGAACATTCGACGCAATTGATCTTTCTATATGTTCTCCAAATATATACTGTAATTTTGAATGGGAGGTGGAAACTGATCTCCATCACAGCGATCATTTTCCCATAATCATTTCTGTTAGAGGCAAAAATCCCACGATAAGATCAGTGGCTAGATTTAAGATCCCACAAGCAGATTGGGAACTTTTTGCAAGTAAGTTCGTCCCTCCAGCCCTAGATAGCTTAAGTTTAAAAACTCTTACATCTGCTATATTAGACGCTGCGAACGCCAGTATTCCAAAATCCAAACCTGGCAATAAAACAAAAATGGTTCCGTGGTGGTCGTCTGAAATAAAAGAAAAAATATCATTAAAAAATCAAGCCTTATATAGATTTAGACGTAATCCTACGTTGGACAATTTAATAATTTTTAAGAAACGTCGTTCGGAGTGTCGCCGAAAAATACTAGAAGCACAGAGGAGCTCCTGGAATCAATACGTGTCCACGATTACACCGGACACTACTAGCAAGGAAGTGTGGAAAAAGGTTGGAGCCGTATCAGGTAAAATTGGTTGCAATAGTCTGGCCTTCTTGCGAGATTCAGAGGGACAAATCACAAATAAACCAGAGGATATATCGGATATCATAGCAACCCAATTTTACCAAGTTAGTAGCTCCAAAAATTATGCGGATACATTTCTTCACACTAAACAACATAAAGAATCCATTCCTATTATTTTTGATACTAACGAAAACTTAAATTATAATACTCCGTTTACCTTAGAAGAGTTGAATATCGCTATCCGTAACACCAAGTCATGTTCACCGGGAGAAGACGAAATCCACAACCAGATGTTTCATCACTGTACTCCTGAAATGCAACAAAGTATTAGATTTCTTTAATATTTGTTGGAATGAACATACTTACCCCTCGGAATGGAAACAGGCCGTTGTCATTCCTATACCGAAACCTGGAAAAGATCCGTTGCTGGCACAAAGTTATCGCCCAATTAGTTTAACGTCTTGCTTGGGAAAACTGCTAGAGAAAATGGTTAATGTGCGGCTGCAAACATTTCTTGAAGATAATAATATATACGTACCTTATCAAACGGGTTTTCGGAAGGGACGGGCAACGGCTGACCATTTGGTCAAATTGACCGATAGAATTCTGAGTGCATTTGACAGTGGTGAACACCTGCTTGCGGTTTTCTTTGATATAAAGGGCGCTTACGACATGACTTGGTGATATGGAATATTGCAGAATATGTATAAATACAATCTTCGAGGGAAGTTACCAAAATTTATACAATCCTTTCTAGAGAACAGAAAGTTTGTTGTAAGAATCGGTGACATCCACTCAAAAGAGTATGTTTTAGAAAATGGTGTGCCGCAGGGGTCAACACTTAGCTGTTCCCTGTTTGGCATCGCCATAAACGAAATAGCTAAAGGTGTTGAGGGGATGATTGATAAATGTTTGTATGTTGATGATTTAATGGTTTGTTGTTCTGGTAAGACGGTCGGTGCAATAACTCGAAGTCTACAAGTGGCCATAAACAAAATCTGTAGTAACGCCAATGCGGTCGGGTTTGTGCTGTCGGAGGAAAAGACAAAGGCTGTCCACTTTTGCCGACTCCGTAGACCGCACTATGATCCTGTGCTACTAATGAATGATCGTGTAATCAGTGTTGTTCAGGAAGTCAAGTTTCTCGGGCTTACCTTTGACAGGGAATTACGGTGGTCAAAGCATTTAAATAATGTTACTGCTACATGTAGAAAATCGCTGAACATCATCAGAGTTCTCGCTCATCATAGGTGGGGAGCTCACCCTAAGACCCTACTGGATATATATAAGGCCCTCATCCTATCAAGGATGGATTATGGATGTGCAGCGTACTCTACGTGTGGCAATAATGCTTTGCTTGGGGAACTTGATAAGATTCAGAACCTGGCTATTCGATATTCTTTGGGAGCATATCCAACAAGTCCAGTTCCATCGCTCTACGTCGAGGCAAATATTCCCCCTCTAGCTCTTCGCCGGAAACAGATTGTTGCAAACTACTATATAAAAGTAAGGTTAGATGATAAACATCCAAATTTTAGATCCCTTACTGATGCGACTACCATTGCTCGTCTATACAGATGTAGATCGTTAGGTGTTAGGGCTAGAGAGGTATTAAACCACCTCCAATTGGAGAATATTGACTTCACGAGTATGTCATCTACTGCACGGCGTGGACTCGTGAAAAGTAAAATCTATGAGCGGTGGAGTGAGCAGTGGTCGGAGTCTGATACGGCTTTGAAAAGGATCAAACCTAGTCTGGATCCGCTATTCTATATCGACGTTAGACGTTTGAACTTGATCAGGCTGTACAGACTCCGTCTGGGGCATACTGCTCTCACTCAGGGGTATTTGTTGGCAGGTGAAGAACGGCCATTATGCGAACAATGTGGTGTTAATTTAACACCACATCACATTATTTCTATTTGTCCGCAGTATATGAATGTACGTGTGATATTTAATAGAAACCCGATATGGGAAAATAACTTCAAAAATGAAGAGCAATGTAAAAATACTCTCGCGTTCATCCAACAAATTGGCATTGCAAACCATCTGTGATATTTTTAAATTTTTGTCTTTATGTATATTTGTGTAGTAAATAAGTAAATGTAATCACGCCTGTCTTGTGTTGTGTGTTCAGAAACTGTGATATTATAGTACCTTAGTGTAAGTATAAAGGCTAATGGCCATAGATGCCGAAGCCTCAGGTCGGGTTTTAGTGGGTATACCCAGATAATGGGAGAGTCCCACACTACTCCGGACTTCTATCCGGAGTGTGCGTAATGCATTTCCCCACCTGCCAAAAAAAAAAAAATAATTAGTGAAAAGATATTGAAACGGCCGCTTTTCCAGACTGATTTGAGTCTGGTAAATGGTACTTTTGCTTTTATTTGAATGTGTACATACAACATTCTAATAAAAATTGTTATGGTATTTTAATAGAAATAGAGCGGTATGAAATAAAATGTTTTACATTATTTGGTTTTGATTTTATTACTCGTCAACCCGTAAACTACCCATAACGTCAATTATGGCAGGTTAAATAAATCCTGCAACCTTCACTTGGGAATACTACATTGGCCCTTTGGGTTTGTGCTTAGGTCAATCGACTTGACGTCAACTGTTATCGTCGTCCGTGGGTGCCAAGAGATTCAACTGACTCCCTAATACGGGGTTGTTTGAATTTATCGGAAGAATCCTTTTAAGGGTGTATGCAAGGATAGTCCTACCCGACCTTATTTGGAAACCATACTGCACCAGAACATGCCTTTTCAAGGGAAACCAGATTCCGTGACACACTGCTGTGTGGGTAGTGGGAGGGGGGGTGAAATAAGATAACGCGTAGGCGTTCTTGCATTTCTTCCAGAGTGTACCTATTGACTATCGTAACTAATTACTTAATGCAACGATTTACGATACGAGACCAATGTCCCCTCATCAGCATACGCTCGAAAACCAAGGATGGAATATAACACGTAGATATTTTATTCAAATATGTCGTTTACATACCTTTTGCACCGGCTAGTTTTCAAGGAAAAGAATTAAAATACCAAACTGGTAGACGATACATTCATTACACTCCGAAATTGAATACGTACAAGAAGTAATAGAATCGACTCTTTAAATTGCTAATGGAGAAATTAAATTTTCGACAAATTGCAGTCTTAGCTAAATACAATTCAATAAACCGCCTTCAGCTAGTTAACGTTTTTTGCGCTTTCCCCACACCAAACAGTTTGCGCTGTACTTAATCGTTCAACAAGTTCATTCGTCTACCACTTTCAAGCGTGGGTTGTTTAATTTCTAATCAAACTACTTTTATTAATCACGCTGTTAAAAATATCAAATTTACATGCTCATATTTAACACCGTTCATGTTATCTTTGATTAAATGTGCCAAGTCATAATGCGGATTCAAAGTTTTGTGGAGCTTTAAACTAATCTGCTTCCTTAATTCTACTCTCAGATACCCTGAAACCCCAAAACTTTCCCAACATGTATTTGTGTTGTAAATCACTATTTTCTAATTTAGTGCCCCAAATTTGTAAAGCAGTTAATTATACACTCTTATATGGTAGATATTATGTACGCATTAATATTGAGATTTATGTACCGCATGCAAACTTGGAGGTAAGAAACCCATCAAAACAATAGAAACGCGAAAACTGTTTGCTTGAGATTGTTGACTGGCAGTTGTGCGTTAATGAATTTCAGTCATGGATTTGCCTATCACATCTGATCTGGTTTGTATACGTTTCTGGAAGATTAAGTGTTATTTAAAATTGCAATGAAGGTTTACTACGTTAAAAATGTCACAACTAACAAAAAATTAACAATTTAAGTGGATATTATGATTAAATGATATTAAAAAATTCGATATGTCGATCATGGTATTGAAGTCTACAAATTCGATTACAAAAAAATGTAGATTCTGCGTGACTGCGGATGCTGGGAAAATGTTATTTAAGTTACAATCGATAAGCATTATTCCAAGTATCATTATCGACTGAAATAGTTCATTTATTATTATTTGCGAAATTTTCAACTATACGAAATTACATGACTCACTAGTAGGCGGGGGACACTTTCGGGCCCAAAGGATCAATATTCACATGAGTATAACTTTTTTTTGCAAAGAGATTTAAAGTTCGACAATTTTGATCCTTAACTCATCATGTTCAAAAACCGCCAGATGCCAAATTTCGGCTAAATCAGAGTTTTTCTTTCGCACCCCCCTTTAGGGGCGCGTCCTTTCGTGGTAGGAATTTTGAAAATTTTTTTTGCAAAATCGGAAAGGGCCCAAAAGTCAAAGACGTGCCACCAGCCTTTGTAGCTCTTATACAAATTTCACCATTTTTTTTAGGGTGGCTCCTAAACGAAACACGTTAGACCCTCGGTTTATATAATAATAATAATATATTTCTTGCGTAAATGAACAAAGCAAAGACGCAAAAGACAAGAATTCGACGTGGTCGATCTTCCATTCTGCCAAAGTAAATTAAGTATAATGGCACAGCTTAGCTATAATATAGCTTACATTATGATTGCATTTAGTAAATAACAAAACAAAAAAGAGAATAGAAAAAATGATTGCTTTGATCCCCTCTACCACCCAATTTTTTTGCATACTTGTAACACCCTGTATATACACCATGTTCGCTATTCGGTTCCCAGTTTTCTTTGCTTGTCCATAAAATTTTTGAAATAATTAATTTGATTTATTTAAAATATTTTTTATAGTGGCATCTTCAGTCGATTTGCCCTCCCTAAATCCGAATTGTTTGTTATTTAAAGCATTGTCTTTCTCCAGTTTATAATTAATTATATCGTTTATCAATTTCTGTAAAATTTTCCCAAAACAATTTAATCACATGATATGTTTATAATTTGAAGGGTGTTCATTTAGAACAGATTCCCACGTCCGAGAAAATTTAGGAACCATAAGCTTAAAAATAGCCCGAAAGAAAATAAGTTATAAGGTTAATTAGCAAGACATTCTTGACAAGGACGAGGCGTCAGCAGTTCGTCCTAACAATGTATAAAACTAGATTAACGAAGTAATTGTCTGTGATGTAAATACCCTGTAAGTAAGATACTGCAATAAACATTATTAGTCAACATTTCCGACTGTCGGTGTCATACCCGTTGTCGTGTGGACCGGCCTTTAGTCTTTAGATCAATCAGATTCCTTGCTAGTTTACTAATTATGCAACACCACAGACGTTAACTACTGTGTGTCTACGTAGTCAGGTCAATATTGCAAATGACGGAAGCTTTTAGATATGAATAAGAAATTTCGGAATAACGAAAATTTTTGAATCATTCTTTATACTTTTTCCTAATCTCAATGAGGGAATTAGTACGGCTTTTATGTAAGAGAGTGAAAGGCTTTTATCTTATACAAATGAATCCTTTAAAGACAAAAATTAAGTATTATGAATTGTGACTGTCATCCCCACGAACAGATCACTAAAAAATTAAATAAGTGATGAGCCAAAACGTCACATTCATAACAGACTATTAATCTCGTAAATGTAAAATGAAACTGTATTCATTAATTGAGTTACAGAAGCGGTTCGTTCTTCTTTTTATTAATGCAAACCATATTAAAAACGATGCATTTAATAAATGCTTACTTCACATTGTTTCTTATTAAAGCCTTATATCTTAGATCGAATGATCGTCTCGGGAAAAGTAAATTCTTGAAAGAGGTTTACAAAACGAATTTCCGTCCTTCCACCAGATCTACGAGACGCTCTCTACCGAGGTATTCATCTAAGCCAGATTGGTCTTATCAGTTAGGGAAGCGTGTAATCAAATTCAATTCTTGTTTTCAACAGGCGAAACGAAGCTGGCAATGGTAGTCTTTGCATCAAAATGGCAAACAGAGCATTTAAGACTAGATGTTACGGACTGCGTCCAATTGAAGTTTATTTTTACTTTACACAAATTAGACGTATACTACGCTTCTCTCTGTGAATAAATAAAACACGATTTTTTTTCTCGCACGCAGGTAAGATATAGGAATGTAGAAAGTGCGCTCATTTTGAAATTGAACGGCCTTTTATTTCGACATAAAATAAAATGCATCTCGACAAAACGAAGAAGTAAAACTTTGTAATCATAAATGATTGACTAGGCGCACTTTCCCAGTTTCGCTATTCCCCTGCTCGAGACAATTTTGTCGTATAGGAATCATACCCAGTTTTAGATCAATAACCAGTAGCTACCCAAATCAAATACGTTGAGCATGTTGGAAGGCCTGCCTCGCGTTGGGGAAACGCCCAAGCAAATCATCTCAATGCTCGGGAGGTAAATGCTATGCTTGTTAGGCGACTGCATAAGTGCCCGTATTGGGAGGGGTGCTGTGATTTTTAGTTCTTACGCTTCAAAACGGGTGTACCTAACTTCTTTAGGTTGTGCGATTCTGACTGCTAGTGGTTCCTCCCGAGGAAGGATACGACTGTAATCCAAGGCAGAGGGAAGTCAGGGTGTGCGGAGGACTAGTGTCTCTTTAGACAATTTTGAAGGGACCTCTTGTGCGTTTGGGACAGTTAATGGAGTCAATTTGGAAGAGCTTGAGCGCAGCCGAGACAGTACCATGGCGAATCGTCTGATCCTAGTTTGTTAATGTACATCTGTTTGTCAAAGTGCCGATCATTTAATTGAAATTACACCCGAGCTGTGAGAATAGTTTCCCACGTCAATAATTAATTCATCAACTGGTATGTCGAACATTTCTTCTCGTTTATACCACTGTTTTATGGTTTATTTTGTATGTGTCGCACACTATTACCCCATACAGTTTCACTAC